CTGAGGGAGGATACTGGCACCACAAAGCCTACATGGGACCACAGAGCCCTGAACAGACAGGGGACAGTCAGTGGTTCCCTGTAAAATACTATCACATAGGACAGACAGTAAGCAAGGGCAGAAATTAGAAACCTGTCTGAGACCCACTGATGTGTCTCTGCTGAATGGTAAGACTTCACAGCTCAGGAAACTGGTCAGTGCTAATGCAGATTACACACAGAGGCGACAAGTCGGATAATAAAGACCAGTGTAACAGCAGGGGACCGGCATTACATGATAATCATCATCACTGTTTATTGCGACTCCTTCTCAGGGTGGAAATCCCCACATCAGAAATCTAACCTACATTCTGGGGATCTTTATAGGTGTAATTTAGCTGGAAAAAACAAGTGTGAGGAGAAGGTGTATAAAGAGCAGAGCAAGAGCGGAAGAACTTTGATTGGTTGTGATGTGCTCAGCCTGCAATAATGCCACCAACAATATTTTATTTATGCCCATTGCATTGGGTATTTAAAATGATAAATCGATATCTGAAAGTTACTAAGGACACTGTACGTGGGGAAGTTCTTTGTCTGTTTACCCTTAAATTATCTCTCCAGGGTATTTCCTATCTCCCAATGCATGCTGGGATAGACTCCAGTCACTAGTGAGTCTAATCAGAAATAAAATGTTATGAAGAAGGAATAAAGGAATGTTGAATGTATTATACAATAATTTGAAATTACTGCATTGGGACACTTCAAATTGTCCCTGATAAGTTCTGAAATGTCAGGGAGAGGAAAGTGTTTTCCTGTGATCAACCAGTTTCTGGCATGTCTTCTATGATGGAATGAAGACATTCCTCTCATCTCAGTGTAAGCAAACAAGTAGCTTAAACCAACATTTAAAACTATTTTCAACTGGATATGGTATTAATGTCTGGAAAAGAGATGTACATTAACATTACAAGTAAAAGCACACAGCTGGTCTCCGCACCCTCCTACACTGACTTCCTAGAAGCAGCAAAATAACAGTGACTAGGAATAGCATCATATACTGAAAGTCTGTCATTATAAAGTTGGCACACTCGCCTGCCGTCCCTGTACATCTTCTGCTAAAACAGAATGCCTTAAAGGAACGACGCCTAACTATCCACACACCACTAAATCATCTCCTATGAAACCAAGGAAGAAGGAAGAGCTATCTCTTCTAGTCACTATGTTCACATGCAGCGCTAATGTGGTTTTGTCTGAGAAAGGCTTTTACAAGTTCACAGTTGTGTGCATGTTTTAATCTTACAACCACAGTCTTTGTCTTATCTATTCATGCAAATGAGATGATTTTGCATCTGTGGTTGAGGCCACTGACAGACTGAGAGCCTCTCAGCAGTCCTGATTAGTGGCTCAGGATTTCATTTTTGTACGCTTCAAACCAGCTTCTCTATAGGAGACAGAGTTACACACCGAAGTGTTGAATATGTGTGAGCTAAAAAAGTGGACATCCTCTGCTGTCCACTTTGTTAACAGTCTGTAAACTGGTGGACATTAATGACATGCTAAAGAAACAAGCCACTTTCAGAAGGGGGACGTTTTTTGCCCTGAACTCAGTTACCCAGGCAGTCTGTCCTCACGTGTTGTGTTCCCTCACCAGCATAGCAATCTTCCATCACACATGGTTAGGTTTAGGATTGAGCTATGGCTGTGGTTTGCCAACATACCACATTATATGATGACTACATGGCTGAAAAGTAAACTCATATTTTCTTATTTGTTTTGGCTCATAGCTAATCATCTTTGTGTCATGATGAGCTTTGAGAAATATTTGCAACACTGACATCTGATGGGGAGAAGGCATCTGACAAGCTAAGACTAGCCAGTACAAAATTATTAAACCAAATATATTAACCCTGGACAACAAGGTATGGGTAAAAAAAAAAAAAAGAAAGAGAAGAGAGTATAGATGTGTATCACCGGAGCCACAAGGGAAAATTATGACAAAGCAGAGGAAAATCAAAAAGACAAGGTTAAAGCTGACCGACTGAGTCACATGTGACCAACTGAAGCCTGAAATAATCCACACTTCCATACAGTCACTGGAATGAACTGTCAAAGCCCTGCTCAGCCACCACATATAGGAGCTCTATTCAGAGAGTGAGAGAGAGAGAGAGAGAGAGAGAGAGAGAGAGAGAGGTAATGTTATGTTTAGCCAAACTGAGACAGACTGCCCTTTGAGGAGCTCTGCTTTGAAATGAGGTTGAGGAACATCCATGTCAAGAAAATATTGCCCTCTGATTTTCTCCTCCTTTGAACAAAACTGGGCTTTCATGCCTTTCTAGGCCCAAAGCTTTCTGGGTAATGGCTGTGCCTCATCATCCATCCCTTTTCTTTTTTTCTAGTCTTCATTCTCTCGGGGAAGACAGAATAAACATGAAAAATTCTGACCACTTTCTTCTCTAAATCGGTCTTTCACTGCTTGGGTGGGGCGCTGTTATAGTTTACACTAACATCTGCGTTGCTGCACCACACTGGGCGCACAGGAACGCGCATACAGACGCGCCGCGCACGCAGTGGTCCAGCGCGTCTGGCCAACTATGTGTGTATTATCCATTGTGCGCGCACTGGGACGCTACACGCACAGGCACCTAGGGGGCCAGGCACGCGCTTACAGGTAAAGGGAGTGTTTTATTTGCGTCACTCTGACACGATCACAGCGTCAGATGATTAACAAAAACTTTTTCCACGAACACCTCCGCGAGCACAGCGCCTCCATCAGAATCCAGTAAGATGAGAAATTGAACCTGCCCGAGGTGCTGCACACAGAGACGCATTCACATTGATGAGGCATACATCTCCACACCCTGAACTGGGGGAAAACATCCATAGCTTACAGACGCATACACACAAACAGAACTGTACAAAGCGCACATAGACACGGAGACACTGAACGCTTTCACTCTCAAACCCCTGCGACCGAAGTGCTCCGCAGCATAATAACCTATTCATAAAAAAGCAGAAATGTCTCAGGCTTCCGCCTCCAAAATATACACGGGAGATGACGGGAAGGTGCAATCGCCTTTCGCAATCTGAAATTGGAAACGGGGCCAAAGAATACACTGAAGGAGGGCAATTTCTGTTACAAAACCCCCCATTGGTCTGTAAGTTGTCCGCGCAAGTCACCCAAACGAAGAATAAAGAGCCATTGATCCATCTGTCAACTGAAACTTCTAAACTAAATGTATTTCTCCAAAAACGTTTGTGTAATCTTAACCTGCTTTGGTGTTTCTGTTCAAAACTTGCATTGTGTGGCTCAGCCAAAGCAGTCAAACGTCGCTTTAACTAACAATAACTATACAAAAAATATTTTCCAACCAGCTTCAGATCCACAAAAATCACAAGTTCATAATTTAGAAGGTTCATTAAAACCTCACAACATAGCCTCTCATATTCAAAAACCACAATTTCAAGTCGTGTTGCTGCAATCTTTTAATTAGTATTCATTTCAATGGTGTGTCACGTGCCATTCCGCATCAAAAGTCCTCAGTCAGATCTGAACTCATCAGGACTCAGGTGAATCAATGGATTCTCTGTTATTAAAAATAACTCAAGACGACTAGCGGTCCGCCAGGGAACTGCAGCGCATACAGATCATTCCTTTTAGGCGAAATAATCTATAGGCCAAACTGTGAAGAGCGAAAGGAGAGGAGGGGGCATACAACGTAAAACCTTAAAGTAAAACACCGGATCCAAAATCTTCTACACGCCAATGCCTACTCCATTCTTCTTAATAAGAATGTACCTATCTTTGTAAATACTATGAAAAATAATATAGTACAGAAGGAAAACACGCAAAATCCACTTTCCTTAGGCTTAGTCTAACAGAACTCGGTGCAGAGATCCCTCCTCCCTGACAACTCTTGACCAGAGGCAGTGATGGATGGACTGGTGCACAGGCTGAACTGGTAAACCCTCAGTCAACCTTAGTCCCTGCAGCCAAGTTTACTCAAAGCAAAAAAATAAGAGTACAAATTTTAAAAGCGGGACGTTTTCAGACAAACCTCATTAAAAACGACTGTAGCAGCTCTTTGCACCGTCCTACCCCATGTCCCCCTGCGGATAGGGGCCTACGCAGTGCGTAAAATGAGCACCATTCTCTCGAAACTGAACATGGTTCTTAGTAGTGAGAGTTTGTAGTTTGTAAGAAGATAAATAGGAAAAGTAATCAGGAAAATTGTTCAAAATGACTAAAACGCCACCTGGGTGGTTTGAGCTCAGCGGCTAACAGCTTACTGAGATGACACCTGTCAGCAGGTTGTGTGCGCGCCGAGAGAGGAAGACAGCCGAGGAAATGTCACTAAGAAGGAGGACAAAGAAGGACAAAAAACCTTTATTCGAAACATAATAACGCGTTTGTGTGTTTTCCTGCCGCAAAAAGCGATTAAATGCTTTTGTAACCTCTCTTTTCTGTGACCACTGGTTGATATGGACAGTGTGTAACATCCATTATCGGACAGAGTACGTTAAGGCTGGAGATATTTCAGCTTCCAGATAGAAAAAACAAAATCATAAAAACGGAATATGTGTCATTATTTTTCGCGGATGGACGCAGCACATAAAATATTTCCTATAGGTGCATTATCGGACACTCACTTATTCGTATTTCCCAACTAACTTTCAAGGCCTTTAAGAAGAAGACAAACACCAGTCGCCACGGGATGCTTAAGGAACTTTACCCAGCAGAGATAAACGTCTAAATATGCCGGTACAGAAGAAAATACAACCCGTAAAGATACTGTTATTGTCGTTGGATCATTGTTGACTAGTCTCTTGTGAAAAATATAAATTAGCATGTCAGATGCGCAAGTGTCCGACAATGGATGAGATCTGCATTTATTACGCGAGCTAAATCCAGGTAGACGGTGAATAATGAAGAAACGGAAAACATGAAAGGTGGCCTAACAATCTGACCAACTATCGTTTAAAACGCGCAATAAATATCACAATTAATAAGAGAACCCGTCTTACCTGCGCGGACCACGGTCGTTTGGCAAATGGCGAGCGCCACGGTTACCAGGGCGAAGGATGAGAAGTCCATGCGCCATGGTCTCCGTTTCTTCCGGAAGGGACAATCTCCAGTATCCATAGTTTTGCAGTAGTTTGCCGGCCTGGTTGAGCTGTAAATGTAGGATATGGTGGAAGTTATCCTCTCACAAAAAGCCAGCCGACGAGAGGGACCCGACTGAACCTTCTGCGAGGCAGCAGACAAAAAGGCACGCCTCTGGAGACGTCTCTACCTCTCTCCCGGAGACTTTCCTTAATGAGTTACCTATGTCTGTCTATGTTAATGCACAAAACCTAAACACTAAAGGGGCTTTGGGGTGAATAAATATCTTTTATTTTAACGTTTAACCCCTTAGTGCTAAAGCCCCATTGAGTCAGACTGGGTACCAGTACCCAAAGTGGAGAGAGCAGCAGAGAGAGACCTGGAATCACGCTCTCTCTCTCTCTCCCTTCTCTCTCTTTCCCTCTCCCCTTCTTTACACACTTACTCCCACGAAGAGTGAGAGCGTGTGTGTGTGGAGAGAGAGAGTGAAAGCCAAAGGGGGAGAGGGAATAGAGGGCGTGCGTAATTGCGCCTTTGGCGCACGTGGATACGTGTGCAGAGAAGCTCTCAGAGTGTGAAGTGAACTTTTTTAATGTCAAATATATACAAATATTTCACCTCAGACACACAAAAATTGCGTCTTCCGTTTCCAACTTTGAGTTAGTGCTTTAATGTTGCTCGCTGAACGCAAACCGATCAGAGGAAACATGTTTATGTCCGTCTCTGATTCTTTCTAAACAATCACAAGAGAAGCGCAGCAGGAGTGTTTGTTTATTTTTTTTTACTTCCTTCTTAGTGTCTGTGGCGTGAACAGGTTGGATTTATAAACACTGAAGATAAATTGTAGATAATACAGCAGGACCACGCACCGCGCTAAAGAGAGAAGAGTTAGCGTTCGGCCAGCCAATCAGGCTTCTGTCCGCGCTGCTCACCACGCCCATTTCACTCAATTCTTGGCGCTCTCCTCGCTCTGATTGGTCAGACCCACGTGGCATTGTTTTGCAGCGTCAGCTCAGGTGCGTATGGAAGGGTGGGGGTGCCGCGTGTAATAAAACTTGTGACTGACAGATCAACTTCTATCCACCATTAATCTCTAATTTTTTTTAACATTTTGGATTAATTAATGATTTTACCAGACAACAAGTCTTAAATGATGCTTAAGATAAAAACAGATGTAACTGACTATTTTTATGATGGTCAAATAGTTTAACAATTAGCATGGACTTGTGGATGTTTGGATCAAAATACTAATGTAAAAATATAAAATACTCATCACCAAAACCAAATGGTAATCCATACATTCAGCACAGTTAAAGTCACGGCTTGTGATGGAACAAAAATAACCAAGTACCACACTCTATAACTGTCCGCTCCTCTAAGACCCCTTCACCTGCTGCACAGCTGGCAAATTCACCAGAGCCCTAAAGAGTGTCTTGTATTGTATTTTCAGAGAGTGCTACCTTTTGTTCTCATGAATGGTCTAGAGGTCAGGTGATGGACCCACGTGGACTTCTGGTACTTCTTCTTTGAAGAAGTCAGTCATCAATACAAGCCCAGGCACCCTACACTTTCCTGTAAGCTCCTCCCTCAGGTCTGACTCCAGGAGAAGGTTTCTAGAAATGATGATACATTTCAAACCTATTTAATATTTATAAATTGAAAATATATCAGATAAATGAATATAGTGCATCTGCCACAGAACAGTTCAGGCAACCATCTAAGGTGTCCATGTGGAGTTATTCTCTAATTTTCCTATTGTAAAGACCCAAACCAACAATGTGTTAGTCCGTCTCTCAGTATTTTTCAATTTCTTTTCACAGCTGAGCACTGTAGCTTTTAGAAAGCACTACTCAAACAGGAGCCACTGAGAGGACATCAAACCACTAGGACATAAACTTTAAAACCAACTTTAGTAGTATCTTCAAAGAGACATTCCTTTCATAATTTCAAAGTCACTTTTTATATCTATACCTGTCATAAAGACTCAATAGCATCTTCATTATTTCAAACTACCCCCAGTGCCCATCTGTCTGCCTTGAAAATGTCTCTGCAGTCACACAGCCCATGCATGGTTAGTCACTTTCTTTGAATGCAGACTCCACATCCAGAAAGCAGTAATTAACCATAATTATCCCTTGATGCTCTATACCACTCACTCTTTCTCACTACCCTTCATTTCTTCCCCCCACGTCTGTCTGATTCTCTGAGGTGAACGAAGGGGGATGTGTTTGCATTCTGTGGGATTTCCATGATAGCTCCCTTTACTATCATTCTTTCTAAGGGCTTGGAAGCAACAGAAAAAAACTGTCATGGCCAAAAAAAAAAAATTTAATGGTTTTTCCTTTACTTAAAAAAACAATATACTCTGATGACAGACAAATTAGAGACAGGTGATTATGTCTGGGTTTCAACACTGCAATCTTTAAAAAGGAAAATGTATTCCTACATATTTATAAATTATGTTTGTTTATCCCTTGTTGTTGGTGTGGTAACTAGTGTGAAGTTGCATTCAGAGTTCAGATGACTTGCATAAAATTTGTAAAAAACTGGCTTGCAACATGATCAGTTACACATATAGAGTCTTTTGGGCCTCACAGAATGTTTCTTTTAATGTATTAGTTTAGTTATTAAGGCAGTGTCCTTATCTACACTGATGCGCAGCGATATAGGGTTTAGCGCCTTGCTAAACAGCCTCTAACAGCACACACAGATGTAATGTGGATCAGACCTACTATATGATATTAGATTACTGTCGTTAAAGAAGTCCATGCGCCAAAGTTTATCAAAAGATATCTCGTTTTAATTATGTTCATTCAACTGTTTAATCATGTTTTTGGTGGGTCACCAATTAAAAGACAAACTTGTAGAAAAGCTTAGTCAGACTTTCAGTGTCGAGTTTTAGAGTCTACAGAGAGTTTGAGTGTTTTTATAACTTGATTAGAAAAAACTTTTGAGTGAAACATGTAAAGATGGCAAAATTTAAAGATCTCAGTATAGCATCTTCCACATGGACATAAGCCTCAGTTTAGACTCCCAGTTTCTGTCAGTGCCAACTACTTTTCTTTTGATACATTATGCATTTTATTTAGACCCATGGGCTCATAAGATGCCCGACTCCACCATTTCCCCAGAATACATGTCTACTGGGCACTAATTTCCAGATGAAAAGAAAAGGGACACGCTTAAAGTATGATGGCCATGTTTGAGTTTCAGTCCAGTGGTAATGCACTGTCTATGAGTTTACATACAAGGCTGCCAAAATAAAAAAATAGTTCTGCCCTCTCGTTAGAAACAGCAGTGAGCTTTGATGTATGTAGAATGACAAGGAGCGGCCACTGTGTGATCATTCTCTGAAACCATCAACTAGGCTGCTGCATCCAACAATTATCCATCAGGAATCATGAGGAAAACCGGGCTAGGGCAGTTTTTATACCTATATATTACTGTATGGAAACCAAAAGGGAAAACATAGGATTTCTTGTTCTCAGATGTAGAAGAAAAACCATAAAATATTTCTGGAATAAAAACAAAAACAAAACAAAGGGAGTACAGAGGAGGTGACCAAAACAGCAGGAAAGCTGAAAAGATCAGAAATCAGTACCAAAACAAATATTGGAGCAACAAAATGGAGTACAAACAACATAAACCCACAATTTGTAGTTTACCTGAATGTTGAGTTGGGAATTATTTTCTCCTTTTGTAAACACTGTAGCTTCACTGAGATGTTATTTTCACTGCAAGGATAAGTCCAGGAAACGCTCCCTCACTGCGGCAGCTCTGGGTTTTTATTTTGGCTTCCTGGACACAGCGGATCGAGTGTTTGTTGAGAACAGACTGTTTGGTTCTGGCCTCCTTGTGCTCTGAAAGTAGATGCCGCAACTTGTAAAAAGAGACACCCCAAGAGACATCTGTGGTATGCGTTTGTGCTAGATTTTGCACACACGCGTATGTAAAAAAAAAGAGAAAGAAAGTTATTCACTTTACTCGAAGATTTCCTACTCAAGGGAGGGTAATGGCCACTTTTGTTGCATCCATGGTTTCATCAGGGACACGACAAAGTGGTCGTCTGACCAATATGTATCTGTTGCTGTTTGTTTATTACAGGAAAGTTAAGCATCAATATTCAATGATAATAATCACTTATTCATTATTAATAGACATGTGGTTGTCTTGATGTACATGCAGCAGCGCAGGACTGGGGGAGGGGAGGGGACTGAGTATGTCGGGCCCACAGAGATACTACAAATAGCTATGGATGCTGGGAGGGGCCAATCGAGAATGCCTGGTCCAGAATTTTTGTGCTACACCCCTGTGTGCCCTGTGTACGTGTGTGTGTGTGCAGGTTATGGATTTTATTACAGATTCAGTTATACAATCATACATTTTCAACTTGTTTTGTTTTTATCACATCTGCCATGATGGCCCTGAGATGGTCTGGCGACCTGTCCAGGGTGTACCCCGCCTTTAGCCCGATGTCAGCTGGGATTGGCTCCAGCCCCCCCGCGAGCCTGTACGCAGGATAAGCGGTTGACGATGTATGGATGGGACATCTGCCATGATCTTTTGCTTTTATGTAACTTACTTTACATTAATTGTGTGATAGAAATAAAGTTTATTATTCTTATTAAAGTAGGCCACTGTTTTCCCTATACAGACCAAAGTGCAGGTGAGGTGGATCTTTCTGCTTTAAAGAGTTTCATATACAGTAGTTAAAGACATCCATAACATTGCTGAAGTCTGAGACATCACATTTAATTTACAAAAATGTAAAAACGCAGAAAGCGCCTTATTTGGGACACCAATGCTGGAATTATTCCAAGATTTTAATATAATGAAAAAGTCGAATATGGTCATTGGGGGCAGATTTGAAAAGCATGCTATTATGTTATCCTTCAATGACTGTGTATGTCAAAAATATAGAAGGTCTTATTCATGCAAATCTTTCTACATAACCCCAGTGTCATCTTTGCTCACATTTACTACTCTTTCTTCTAACATCCAAACTGACTATAGTCTGTATGTGGGGCCCTAAAGGGTTGTGCACCTGCTGAGAGGGTTCACAACAGGTGCTTTAGCAGGTGCCTACTTGTTATCAATCTGATCCTGTGGCTTGCTTCCATTTGCTTTGACGTTGTTGTGCGTCCCTAGGAGGTGATTTGACTTGATGAACAGTCTGCAAGATGTTTGGAGAGCAAGCTGGAGTAAACATAAAAACACAGACAGCAGGAAGTAATATTAAAGAGAGACAAAACATTAATGCTCTAACAGACTTTTATGTCTTTGCAGCAATCAATATAGCTGTGGTTGTGTTGAGCCAAATATTTAATACAAGAAATGCACTTTTGTTTTTGCACTGCAGCTATATTATTATATTCAAAAAGTTTTGGTCTTTGGCAAAGTACCATTAAAGTCAGAGCAGGAGCTGATGAGGGAGAAAGAGTGTCTGTTGGACATTTCAAACACAGA